ATCACTACTTTATTTCAGCGCACGAAATAACTTTCAAGTTTAAATATATAAAAAAAAATCTATATTTTTTTAAAGATAAATAAAAGAAAGTGCTGGTGCTTAATAAAAGATCACTACTATGCAAGCAACTTTATTATGTACATGCCAACGTTGATATGGTTGAATGGCTCCGGCTACATTAGTAATAAAACTGAATAATAAAACGTAACTACAAAAATTTGAATAAACATTTTATATTTTTTCAATGACAAGATTTACAATACCTCTTATATCTAAGTACTAAATTTATCATTTATATATACTGTGATTGCAAACTTCAACATTTAATCATTAGTTTACTATTAGCGAGTAGCCGGAACGCATGATTCCATGCATCACGAGGTCTTTGAATCAACCAAATATACGGAAACAAAACAAAAAACATACTTTTCACCTGCACGCACGACACGTTAGTTTTTAAATAAGGATTGGAAGTGTGAGTGACGGTGAAGAGTAATTTTTTCTTACACGGGCGGATATTCATTATTGATAACGGGGATAAATAATATAGTATTAATAAATAATAAATAAATATTAGAGAAAGAAAGAAGACGAAAGGTTGAAAATATAAAATTTTAGATATATATTCAAATATATTAAATCATCGTTAAATTTGAGAGAAACAAAATAATAAATTATATGAGAGTTACAACACTAAGAAGGACTGAGAGGATAAAATTGTAAATATATAAATAAATATATTAAATGTTCATTATGTTTGGGGACCAAAATCATAAATTAAGAGTTACAAAACTTTGAGGTACCACGAACCCTCAGTTCCCAATAATATCCTGCAGTGCACACATACTTGTTAGGTTTGTATTCATTCGTCCTTGCCATCTTTCTATCCATTCATTTTAAATTTAACAACTTATAAAATTTAAAATAAAAAAATAAAAGATATTATATATTTCAAATTAGTTTATTCGTAACGCTTTATGTTTATCTTCATTTGTGTTTTAGTAGAATATGTTTATTAATGCTGAGCATATGCTTAAAACTACTTAAAAAATAACTAGTCAAGGAAAAGAATATTAATGTAATTGAAAATAGATAACTTTTTTTTTTTTTTAAAGTGTGAAGGAGAGTTAAACACGTTGTAACTTGTAACCATCAATTGAAAACCTAAGTTTGAATAATAGTTAGATTTAATCAAATTTAATTGATATAGTTATATCTCATAAAGAATTAAATATTTCACCATTATTTTACATTAATAATTTTTATTATATATATTTTGTTAATTTGAAGTATTTAATTGTTTGTTAAATAAGAAATAATAATTTCAGTACCAATAATCGGTAGTCTGATATTTGATCAAAGAATCATGATATATAAATAACCAGTTTCTTTATATACATTCATCCTGTATTTTCTATTTAATAATATAATAATTATAAATGTACAATTTGAAATAGTATTATTGTATATTATTATTAAAAATGAATTTTAGGATAATTGTAGGAAAAAAATGGTTGTTTTTCTTTATCAAATCTCATCTACCTCATCTACAATTGTAATGTATTTTTCAGATAGAAAACTTTGCAGCTTAAAATGAGCATTATTCGTTAGTCGGACGTTACGTAACACCACCTGTGATGTGACACACGTGAACATGAAACAAAATTGTTCATAAAAAATGCCTCCTCTGATAAATTATCTGCGTCGGACCTATGAATGTCAGCAGAGAAAAAATTGGAAACACTATACACTCGTGAGTTTCCTATACTTAACAGAAATAAATGTTTCCAATAACATAAAAATTGAGAAAAGATAAATAAAATCAATAATAAAAAATAATAAAATTTTATTATCGAAAGAAATTATAATAATTTTTTAAATCTAAAATAATAATAATAATAATATTTTTTTATAAACAAGAGAAAAGAAGATATTTGAGATAATTTATAAGATATATATATATATATATATATATATATTCTTTTATAAAAAAATAATTACTAACATATAATTTCTGATGTGAGACTATTTCATATTCTCATAATTTCTCACTTGCACAATATATTATTAATGTCTTCTATGTTGTTATTACAATAAACCTTTATTATGATCGTCTTTATGACATTGACTGTCACAATACACAATAATCTTTTGCTGCTTGTGTCTGGGTTCCTCCTAATGCAATATTACAATAAACCTTTATTATGATCATCTCTATGACATTGACTGTCACAATACACAATAATCTTTTGCTGCTTGTGTCTGGGTTCCTCCTAATGCAAATAACTTCCTTACTGTTAGGTCTTTCGAGGGGGCTAACAACAAGGAGGTTTTGACAAATGGGACACGAGCTAACTATACAAGAGAATATGACATCATTCTCAACCCAAAATCTTAAGGCATTAGGTTATTGGGTATTTCTCACTTACAAGTTACTCAACATTCCTATTTCTACCAAATGTGGGACTTCAAACTCACACTTGAATTCTCAACAATCTTCCCCTTAAGTGTGATCCCTTTCACATTGATGCACCTCCCCCTTGAGCGGAAGCTTTAGTAGTGACCTTACTTGTGCTGCCGTTTAACTCAACGAGACTCTCAAGTGTGATTACCTTTTACATTGGTACACCTCTCCCTCGAGCGGAAGTTTTAGTATTGACGTTACTTGTACTATCGTTTAACTCAACAAGACTCGTTTACCTAAAACCTTAATAGTAACCTTACTTGTACCGTCGTTTAACTCAACATGACCCTCAAGTGTGATTACCTTTCACATTGGTACACCTCTCCTTAAAGAGAAAGTTTTAGTAGTGACCTTACTTGTACAACCATTTAACTCAACTAGACTCACTTGCTTGAAACCCTGGAAGACCTTCGATACAAGGATCCACAATATAAGATCTTTCATCTACTATAATCATACTTAACTGAATTGGTCACTAAACGAACCATCGACTCTAATACCACTGTTGGGTCTTTCGAGAAGGCTAACAATTGAGAGATTTTAACAAATGGGACACGAGTCAACCATATAAAAGAATGTGACACCACTCTTAAACCAAAACCTTAAGGCATTAGGTTATGGGTCTTTCTTACTTATAAGTTACTCAAGACACTCTAACTGTCACAATACACAACAATCTTTTGATACTTGTGCCCTAGTTCCTTCATTATCCTCTTAATCCAAATAGTTTCCTTACATGCATAGTGACTGTCATGTAGTCAACTTCTGTGATAAACAGAGCTACAACATCTTATAACTTGAATAACCAGTTATTGTCTCTCCAAAAAAGATAAACTCGTTAAGATTTTTCCCTAAACAAACATAGCATCTGACAACTAGTTTTGATCCTCTGAAACATAATACAACATCCAAGGTTCCTTTGATAAGAATTCTTTTGATAAATACTCATGCTCTCCACCACAATTTTCCATTGATCTATTAATTGCTCCCACTGCTTCTGGTTATGTACTGATCATGGTATTCATAAGATTTCCCACCATCGATGCATACAGTACTTGAAACATTTTCATCATCTCTGCTTCATTCCTAGGATTAATACTTGAGAATAACTTGATAGAAACTAGGATAAAAACTGACTTACACCCTTGCATGTTGAAGCACTACAAGACCTTCAGTAAGTAATTCTTCTAATAAAGTCAAACATTTCTTATATTTTATGTCCTGTGAATTTGTATCCCTAAAATCTTGTTTGTTGGTCCTTAGTTCTTCAGATCAAACTTTCTAGTCAATTGTGTCCTTCAAAACCTGGATTCGAACTTTATTAGAGTCTACCACCAATTGTCATCCACGTACAACGATAAAATGACAAAATCATTCTCATCAAATCTATTGTAATAGGTACAATAGTCTGAACTTAATCTGTTGTAATCAAGGTTAATTATGAAGAATAAAATATTTTGTACTAACACCTGTACACCCGGTTTAAACCATACATAGATTTGGACAACCTGCAAACTAAGTTACATTTTTCTTTAAGTCTTCTAGTTGGAGCATATCAATCTTTTCTCTAAGTTCACCTTGAAGAAAAATAATATTTGTATCACCGCTAACAATAGCTTTGTGGATAGTGGGATTCATAGGAAATACCTCTTCACATTGTTAGCATAATCCAAGAATTTTCTTTTCCCGAACTTTGAAAACACATATTTCTTCTTGATGTGATATACCCATAATCTCCTAAAGTAATCATTGTCATCACTGACACAAAATATTTGGCCCCTCCTAGGGATAATATCGACAATTCCAACACATCATAATAAATCAAGTCCAATATGTGTTTCCTCTTGATATAATTTGACGAGAGACTCCCAAATCTCCTTCATTGCACCATTCTCCACAAATTTGCTATAGTATTGTTGTTAATTTCTTCCCACTTTCGATCTATGATGTCCATAAAATTACTTTTTATTATGAATAATATTATCTATTAGAATAACAAATTACTAGTATACAAGGTGGGTCACTAATTAATACACTTTATATCCAAGTAATTATAATGACTATAATAACGAAATAATATCATGAATAAAAAATCAACCATCTGATACCAAGAATTAGAGTAACTTAATGAAAACTCACAATTAAAAAAAAGAAGAAAAAAACAAAAAAATAATAAAAAATAATAAAATTTTACTATTAAAAAAATTATAATACCTCTTTTAAAAAATAATAATAATAATAATATTCTCTTTAACATATAAAAAAATTCAATTATTATATAATACACTAATAAAAAAATTCAATTATTATATAATACACTAATAAAAAAAAATTAAGAAGATTTACAAATGAGACATTTTACTCCTTTTATAAAAAAAAAACAGGAAACAGCACGATATAATTTTCCTCACGTACATTCTCACCCAGAACAGCATTACACACCAGATAAAGTAAAAGACGAAACTTTTCATAACAACACCTGCTACACTTTTATTTTTCTTTGCCTCAACTTCCATTCATGAGAAAAGAGACAAAGTCAAGATTGGAGGCCATTGAGAAAGAGAGAAGCAAAGGTCTCCATCGCTTCTTTGCTGGACACGAAACCTATCTCAATTCCATCACCACTTCTGCTATCTGACAAACAAAATGCCCCAGTTCTGTCTATTGAAGCCATCTCAACCTTCTTTGGTCTTCCCCAACCAAAGTCATTGCCATAAACATCAAACCTTGGTGATCCAGCAACGCCAATTATCCTCACATCATCTCGGAAACCGTCAAGCAACCACTTTGACCAATTTTCTGCCCCACTCAGCGCTCCCTCTTTCAGATTTTCCAAACTCTCATTCACACTATCCACTGCTACAATTAGTCCATCCTCCCCCAATATCTCTTTTGTTTCAACAATTGCAAGCCTCGCCCCCACATAGTTCCCAAAATACGTTGCAGGAACTGGTGGCTCCAAACGTGCCCTACAATCAACGTTTAAAGCCAAAATAACTTTTCTGTTTTTTGTTTCCTCTGCCCTCACCCTGCAGACCCAAGCATAAGCAATGGATAACACAAACGTTGACAAGCGAAGGTTGCTGTTGTTCCATGTCTTCTTGGACAACACAATCTGCTTTAGCTTTTCAATATCCGAACGAGAGAGATGAAAAAGGCCTCTAGTTGCATCTTCTGGGAGTTGCAGATCCCAAACTTCGAGGCTTCTGTTGTTGGGCCCATCCTGGTTTAACCAATCACTGGCATATCTTGCTCCTAGGTCATTGGGGTCCTTCACTCCTTCTCTGTCCAAAAAAGGACTCAGTTCAGGTGGCAAAGAAGAGGCTGATTCTCTACAAAGATAAGCCCAACATTTGATAAATGATGTTGAAGTCTTGCCATCTAGAACAGCATGGTGTGAGATTATTCCTATGGAAAATCCAGAGTTTGGAAATAGAGTAACTTGCAAAGCTAAAACATTAGCTTGATCATGGGATATGGTCAAATGGGGTAAAAGTTGGTCGATTTCGCTAGCTTCAGAAAGATCTGTGCCCGCTAGATGGTTGAAATCAGCCTCAGATTCAGCTACAGTGAGGGAAACAGTTTCACCGGTTTTGCAACTGATGATAGGTTTGTGGGAGTGAAGGGGCCAAATGAGGTGTCCAGCAAGTGGGAAAAAGTGGCCAAGTGCAAGAGAGAGAGAGTGTTTGAGATTGGGAAGGAGGGTGTGAAAGAAGAGAGGAGCTGGATGAGGGAATTGATAGAAGAAGACGCGTTGAACAGGTGGTAACCTTAACCATAGTATGTCAAAGAAGGTGAGGGGAATCGTTGTTTGAGTTGATAACTCTTTTGATTCTGAAATTGGTGCTATGTTGAAAACTTGAACCACTTTCATGGCTTCTTTTGTTGCTTGACACAGACCAGAGAAACAAAAAGGTTTTGTATCTGGTTTACCTGTTCTTGTACCTCCACCCAAAATGTTAATGTTAAATCTCTTTCCAACGGCCATTATATTTATTAAATAATATTATTATTATTATATTAACATTATTGGATTTTAATTGATCAGGATTCGTAAACTTCCAAATGTTATACCACTGCGATTCTCATCTATATTTTGCGGCTACTTTTATATTGACAACAAGATGAAAAAATAAAATAAAATAAAATTATAATAATAACATCTATTATTATATTATCATAATAAAATCTGTTATTATATTACTATAATGTGTATTATATGACTGAGTCAAGTGACAGAGTAACGGATCCTTATCAATTAATAAATAATAATAAAAAAAAGAATAAAACAGTAAATATATATATATATATATATATATATATATATATAATTAAATAATAATTAATTCTTAGGTGAACAAAATCACAAATTAGATAAGAATTATAAAACTGAGGAGAGATAAAATTGTAAATATATAAATAAATATATTAAATAATCATTAAGTTCGAGGAACCAAAATCATAAATTATATAAAAATTACAAAATTTTGTGAACTATCACTACCTTCAATTTCCAAGAAGATTTGCTAATGCGAAACAATGTAGGCATGACAATCTATCATGTGGATTGTATTCACACATATCGCTTTTGTATCAATCATGCGGTTTGTCTTCGTGGATTGTCTTTGTATTGTTGCCATGCGGCAAAAAAACAAAAAGATCAGGACGACTTATACAAGACTCGTAAGGTAGTATAAATAGATGACACTTTAAGATAAGGATATTTTTGTTGAAACATACAAGGATATAAATGTTGAACATATATGAATATGAAGCCTGTTGATTTTGATGATGATTCAAGAACAAAAGACTTAAAGATTTGAAGACTTGTAATAACTCTGTTTTTATGATTTTGAGTCTGTAATATTAGAGTCTAAGATAACCAGCACATAATCTTTAAAGGTTCTAAAAACTCATTTTTATAAAAAACATACTGGATTAATAGATTAAATGACAGGATAATCGATTATTACAGAAAGAAAAACCATTTTCAGCTTCTGCTCTCTGGAATAATCGATTAAAGCCTCTGTTGTTAATCGATTAATTGCTCAGTTAATCGATTAAACTGAGTGGTTTTGGGTTCCAGGTGAATTTGGCTCTGGAATAATCGATTAACACTCAAGATAATCGATTATTTCAAACAGATATGTGTTTTGAAGTTCAAAATTGGACCAAGTTTCGAAAACCTTATTCCTAATTCATCTGTTTTCGAAAATCCCCAATTCCCAGACCCTAATCTCTCTACTTAAGGTTCTCTAAGGCTCTCTACAAATTGAACAACCTTTTTCAAACAAAAGTTGAGAGTTGTGACTGCCAGAGAACTGTTTGTTGGAGGAAAAAGGGGCTTTTGGAACCTAGTGTGGGCTAGAAGCGATAAGAATCACTAAGTGGGTTTTCTTGGTGGATTGTGTGTTGTGTCGTCTATAGGGAAAGTTGTTCTTCATCCTTTGTGGGATTCAAAGGAGGTGTTCATCTCTTGTGTGACTCAAGAGAGATGTATTCTTTACCTTATCTTCTTATTTGTAATCTGATTGTATAACTGTGATTATAGTGACAACGTTAATCCTCTGTTTGAGTGATTAACAACTGGACGTAGGGTCTTTTAATCCGAACCAGTATAAATCATCTGTATAATACTCTATCCTTGCTCTATTTACTTTACACAACATTTTAATTGATGAAATTTGGAGAAATTTTTAAAACCCTAATTTTTGTTAAGAAACCAATTCACCCCCCTCCCCCACTCTTGGTTTTTGTCTGGAAACACAAACATTTTGTTGCGCGATTCTAACAATTTTTCAGATATTTATTCCCTTCTTAGTTATCTCATTGACTTAAACATTAGAGTGTCTTTGCAGGGACATTAGACGCACACTCCAAGGAGACGATCTATGTGATGACGAGAGCGCGAGGTTGTATCGGCATATGGTTAGAAGTACGAGGACACGTTATCCTTCGATAGGAGGTTCACGGCCTTGTAAGAACATTTTGGCTCCCACTGTGGGGTTGATTAAGAATCTCTAAAAGATATGGTGACAACAAGGACCATGACGAGCAACAAGAGACCCCATTAGCATAAGAGAATCATGCGAGCAAAGGTACTATTAGGAACTAAGAAATGAGTTGGAAAACTTCAAAAGATGGAGTATTGAGGAACTTGACGCCCTCTGGAAGGAAAATGTGCACATATGTCAAAAGCTAAATGAACAAGAAGGAACTTTCCAATAACGTCATCCCAAAAACGGCCTCAGATACTCTGTCAGCACACAAATTTGAGAAGGGGAGGCCAACACTAATCCAAGAATGGCAACTCATATGTCCATGCACCTTTCATCATACCTGGGTGGGGGGGGGGATCTGAAGATACTCCTTCGTAAGGATGGCAAAACGGGCCAGCCCCGCCTTTGGCCCATCAAAAGCGGGGCGGGACGGGCTGACCCGATATAATCATGACTGGCTGTAGACCTTGACCCGCCCGCCATAATTTAGAAAAAATAATTTATTTTTTAAAATACTTTTTTTTTAATAAATTTAATAATAAGATTATTATTTGTTTGTTAATAATTCAATATATATATATATATATTATTTAAATTTAATAATATAAATCAATACATTGTTTTAAGAAATTATAATTTAGAATAATAATAAAATTTATATAATAATAAATAATAACAAATATATATATATATAACGTTAAAACTTATAAAATTTATATTTTTTATATTGAAAAATTCAAATATCTATATCTTTTTTATTTGATAAAACTTCACATATTATTGGTTGAGTAATTCTTATACTTTTAATTTAAGTAATAAGGATAAAAATAATCAGTGCTTAGGATGAACAAAGAGAACGAGAGAGAAAATTGTGTTTCGAGTAAGGAGAATATTTTATGTGAAAGTCAAATTTTTTTAATTCTCTTTTTACAATTTTTAACTTTATATATTATTTTTATAATTAATTTTATTACAATAAAAAATTATTTTTTTATTAATTAGGCGGACTGCGGGCTAGCCCACCCCGTTCCGTGGGTTGGCCTGACGGGTTGGCGGGCTTGGTGGGACGGATGAAAGCGGACTGATGGACTAAAAATACTAACCACTCTACCATATTATGGCAGGTTGGCACACCTGACTGACCCATTTTCCCATCCTTACCCCTTCGTGGACGATATCATGGAGACACCCCTTCTCTTGGCATGGAAAAACATAACCATCGAATATAACGGATTAACTGATCCAAATGAACATGTCGACGTATATGTGACACAAGTAATCTTGTATATGGCTGAAGATGTCATCTTCTGCCGAGTGTTCCCCACTTCCCTCAAAGGGTCAACCCTAAGCTGGTTTATGCGACTTCCCCCAAATAACATTGATTTCTTGAAAACGCTCGTGTCAAAGTTTGGAACGTAGTTCGTTAGCAGCCGCCCCCATCACCTAACATCCATTGTGCTCCTTAACATTTGACAAGGTAAGGGTGAGTCACAACAGACCTTTATGGAAAGGTTCGGTGAGGTAGCACTCAACATACAAAACCTTAACCCGGAAGTAGCACTCCATGATATAGCCACGACCATAAGGCCAAACCCATTCTCGGACAGCCTTTGCAAAAAGTCGGCAGCAAACTTAGATGAATTAAGAAGCTGAGTGAACAAATTCATGCAGCTGGAGGAATTAAAAGAGTTTCGCAACCAGGTAAGGGCGAAAATCGAGGAAAAAGGCAACGATAATAGAGAAAAACAAAAGTGTACCCTACAAACAAGGGCAAGGGAAACTCGTGGACCAAACTTTTCGCAATACACCCCCCTGGACACCAACAGGGCTAAAGTGTTGGAAGAAGCTCTCAATACGAATCTTATGCCCACACCGAGAAAGGTTCTCACCCCTCACCACAATAAGCATTGTCGGTATCATCGCAATTACGATCACTCCACTGACGAATGTGTCGTGCTAAATGACAAAATAGAGGAGCTCATACAAGCTAGTCATTTATGAAGATTCGTCATGAGACAAGGGGAACAACAGGGAAGATACCCCCTAAGGGATGAGCATCGCTACGAGCGAAAAACAACGAGCAAACCCGACAACCGAGAAGGCTCAGTGACGAACAAAAAGACCAACCCCTAAGAAGAGTAATCAATACGATAATCGACAAATTTGCTAGAGGAGGACCCACATCCTCAGCCAGAAAAACACACAACGGTGCTCGGACTAAGGCAGACAATGACCCTTATAAACTTCACTGATAGGGATTTCTAGGCCGTCGACCCCTGACAAGACGACCTAATGTTGATCACGGTCGAGGTATCAAACTTTGCCATAAAAAAACATTGGTCGATCAGGACAACTCAATAGACACTCTTTACTGAAAACATTCAAACAACTTGATCTCTTTGAGGAAGCAATCCAACCATATGATGACCAGAAGTAGGATTCGCGGGGAAAGGGTGGACACCAAAGGCTTTATCAACCTATTCACCAAGTTTGGAGAAGGAAACATTGACTACCGAACAATCAAAGTTCGGTAAGTAATAGTGGGCACACACACATCCTACAACATCACCATTGGAAGACCGTCCCTCAACGCCCTAAGAGCCATAATGTCCACCTCACACTTGGCCATGAAGTTCCCGTTGTTGTCGGAAAAGATCGTAACCGTCCATGTATAATATACATTGTATACCAAAGAACAACAAGGGAATGTTATGCGACAAGTGTGGAATCACTCCAAAGTGCAACTCCATGACAATCACTGATTTAGATCCTCGAATTTGCAATGACCACCGGGTCGAACCCTATGAGGCAACAACGACTCTGCAACTTGGACTAGAGACCAAGGTCACCAAGATGGGATTGTCTTGACCCAAAG